TTTATATCCAAACCGCGGAGCATAGTACGGTACAGGGTTTGTCCTATCTAGTATATCACGTTTTCTTGCTTCAAAAGCAGTTGGATTGGATTCTTTTAAAACTCTGTTAATAGTTCTCACAGATACTYGAACGCCCTTAGTCCTAAGATATCCTTGGAGCGTTAAAGAACCGTAACTGGGACCAACCTGAAATATTAATAATCGATTCAGTGCTTCCGCCCATAGCTACTAAAATTAAAATCATATGAGCATACGCATAGCCCCTCGGGCTACTTGCRAAAAAATATTGGTTATCACGTAAATCACTTCTAAATCAATAACAGCTTACCTCGCTAACTGCCCTTTTTATAAAATTTTCTTTGGCATTACTATCCAATTTTTCCGCACAGAATCTACGTAGGCCGTTGACTTGGCAATACCGCCGTACACTTCTTCTAGAAAGTCCTCGAGAAATGTTAGGATAACTCTCTTTTAAATACCTTTCCACGTCCCGTAAGAATCCTCCAGCATCGAGAATCTGTCTAACTTCGTCTTGGACATTGAGGGAATCAATTAAGCTCATTTTTTGTCGTAATCACTGACAGAACAACTGAGATCTTTTTAGCTAAGTTTGAATTTATAAGTTTGAAACAATTTTACAGTAATATACTACCCAGGGGATCACGGTTCAATGTTTGTCTTAGCGGAAGTTCAATAACAGCGACAACTATTGGACTAGGGGGGAGGGGGTGGGGTGATAGAGCGCAGATAATGATACCGGAAGTAAGAGTATTTTCGAGTGGTCACCCCTCCCCTACACGTGGTGTTTTGTCGTATGTCAGCGAGATTGTGATTTCTGATTCGTGATTCAGAAAACAGAAATGCGATTTCTGATTCGGGAAACGGAAATCCAAAATCCTGCATTCTCTCCTTCAAACTTGTATTTTCGCCCATGCAATACACCTAGGCAGTGCCGAAAAGTCAGTTTTCTGATTTCTGAAACAGGAATCTCAAATAACTCTTGTACAATTCCTGATTTCTGATTCCAATAATCGGGTTGGCCGCAAAGCATCCTGATTCTATAGGCATAAATATTACAAATTACCAACTTAAAAAAAACTGAAAATCTAAGTGCACTTGAATGAAATATTTCATACAATTCATCTTTAAGAGGGTATATCTTAAAAACGCCTTGATTGACGTCMAAACCTAGTTTGTTGCGCCCACAGCAAGGACAAATAGTTATTATCAATATAAAGTGCAGTTAATAATATTTGTAGTAGTACGTGATAATAGTGAATTAGCCATTCCAAGGTTGAGGGGAAAACTGGGTCAAGTTGGCATTTCAGTGCATTGTGGGACTTTTAGGAGACGTAATTCCAAGATTCAAAGATTTTCGTCCCCTCAAAAGTCTCAAAAAGCATTGCAATGTTAAAATGGTAAATGTTCTATTGGAACGGTTATCGCGTGAAACGTCACTCAAGACACGACGGATGATTTTCTCTTGTATGTACCGTTCAAGGCATCAGGGTTCTTTTCCATTTCGTCAAGCGCCATGTTGGTTTCTGCGGCGTTAAATTTCTCATCATGATGAAATTGCCCACCTCTCATCTGCTCGTCCATCTGCAAGGCTGCTAGCGGGTAAACCAACATCACAGAAAAGAAATCTTCAGCAAGGTTACCCAGGATGTTGTACTTCTCTCTCATGTAAGCGCGAGTACCAGTGGCTAGCGCAAAGAAGCCGAACAATACAGCCCAGCCCACGTACGCCAAACCAGGCTCAAGCACCTGTAGGATCTCTAGAATGATCCAGCCATAGAAAGGAATAGCCAAGGACACCATTGAGACATAACGGTTAGAGCCGTACAACTTTCCTGTAGCATTACCCAATGGCCACCATGGAGCAAAGATTGCTACGACAAGTCTGGCAAATAGCTTGCAAGAGGGAYGGTAGAAGATATCTAGTAGCCCCATAGTGAACTGTGGTCCATTTGGATCTAGGTCACCAACGTCGGTCTTCAAAATCCTCCACAAAGCAACACAGATAAAGTTGAGTAATACCGTGAGGAAGAGTCCAGAGRCAATAGAAACTGCTTGGAGAGCAGAAAGAGCCTTGGTACCACCTGTCCAGAGAAGAGCTGTAGCAGTTGCTCCTTCGGTCAGTGCCCAGAAGATCCTTTGAAGTACCGGTGGATCTGGATGGCCATTGGCTGATAAGCTGTCAATCACCAGAGAACCACTGTCTGAGCTGGTCACGAAGTACAGGATTAAACCCACGATGGACATGCCTGACAGGAAATCCCCAAGACCGCCATATTGGTCCATCAGGTCAAACCACATGTTGACAGAAGGACGGCAGGAGAGCCGGTACAGACCTCYAAGGGACTCAGTCGAATTCCATCCACCCAGTGGAGAGTTGCAAGTGATATTTGCATTGGCTGCTGCTCGCTCCATGCGTAGACCTGCACCACCAAATACAGAGAACCACAGCAGAGAATATATTGTGGGGAGTGTCAGAGTGTACATGATGAACTCTCTAATGGTACGTCCACGGGATATTCTTGCAATGAAGGTACCAACGAAAGGTGACCAAGCGACCCACCATCCCCAGTAGAAGATGGTCCAGTCGTTCATCCATTGTGGTGCTTGCTTCTTGTCAGGAGCGTCTCCAGGCTGTGCAAAGGCATCGGTATGGAAGCCCAGCTGCACAAGCTGCTGCATGTAGTAGCCAAGGGTTTGCACGGAGACGTTCAGAATGTACCAAGTGTCATCGTAGAAGAAGACCACAAACCACAGTAACATGCCAATAGAGAAACAGAGCTCGCTCAGACGACGAATACCCAGTTTGAGGCCACTGATAACAGATGCAGTGGCCAAGGCAGTGATGCACCAGATGATGATAACTTGGGTTTCTTTGCTCTGAGTAATGTTGTTATTCATGCGGTTGAAACCACTATTAAGTTGTACGACCCCGAGACCAAGACTAGTGCAAACACCAAGCATGGTGCAGACAACGGCCAGGATGTCGATGAAGTCACCAAGTGTACCAAAGATTTTGTCACCAAGAAGAGGATGGAAACATGATCTCATGGTCATGGGCATGCCTTTACAGTGGGATAAATATCCGAGGATGAGTCCAACGAGAGCATAGACCACCCATGCATGTATACCCCAGTGGAAAATAGTCACATTTAAGGCATCTTGTGCACGCTGGTTATCTGAATACCTACGTGAACAAGAAATAGAGGATATAGTTATCGTTGCGTTTTTTGTTATTCAGTTTTTTTATCATTCTATAGTCTGCGAAAGGGCTCTCTGGTGGCGCACTTCACATTCACTGAGTTGTGTCATCATAATAACCGCGCGCTACTTCAGACTGAGACCCCCATGCCACTTCAAGGACTACGTGAAGGGCCATCAATTTCTCATTTTTCTGAGGTTACTCATAAAATGGCTCTTCTTTTGTCATGTTTATCGATATCTATTAATCAGAAATAATTATTCTCCCGTTGAACAGGTCACGATTATGGCACTCACACACTAATTAGACGTGCGAATCAGCATATCGTTATAAACCAAATTGCATAATTACTGCATAAATACTCTATCATGCGTGTGGGTAGGCAAACACATAATCGTTAATGCAAATCCAGTCCTGCATAATCTATGGAACTCAATAATACCGAGTCACGTATAACAATTTCAGTTGGAAATGCGCTAAAATTTTAGTCTTTCTTCTGATCCCTTCTTTTTAATTCCACTAGAATTGGTATGAAATTCTTAAACACAAATTATGGTTTAAGGGTTATTTCAATCGAAGATAGTTAGACATTTATCAAAAGTTACTCTACTAGAACTGAAGAGTGTTAATCCGATGGTCATTTAAAAAATTCACGAATCAACTTAAGTCTTAAGACTTAAGTCTATTTGTTTTACAAGTTCCGTTATCTTCAAAACTCAAACATCTTTTTTTTAATCAAGTGCCTTGGATTTATAAGATACGTACAAATGTTATACTAAGTTAATAAAACTTTCTAAGCATGACGTCATCAATGCTTGCATAAGAATTAAAAAAAAAAAAAAGCTTAAATAAGAATTAAAGATTGATTGATAGAAGGTTTCTTAGAATATAATCGTACGTTTTGGCCGCTTTTTACAGTTGAACCTTTCTTCTTTTTAAAGTTTAACATCTTTTCTACAAATGAATAAAATACAAATAAATAAATTACTTTATTCAGAGTATTTAGTCGTTCTAGCGCTCTCGCACTAATTGGGGACACTTTTCACTCACAAACTACCACTTCAACACAACGCTCAACTCACATGTTTATTTTTGAATGGTATCCTTATGGCTTCCAAAAATAGTTTTTAGTGTTTAGTTGTAATAAAGATTAGGTTTATTCATTCGGAATATTTGTATATCGTTGGTGATATCTATCAACACAATCTTGACAAACTTAAAACAATTTAATTAGTTTCATTACACTGACACACTTCGTTTTACTATGGACAGAAAACTGTTTATAATCAGTGATAACCTAAAAAACTGATTAATTCTTTGGCATAGAAATTAGAACTTACTTATGGTTGAATGACTTAATTTTGGCATCTTTATTCAGAATACAAACGTATGATAGTAATCGTTGGTGGTACTACATCAACATAATCTTGACTTAAAACAACTTTTTGTTACTTTTTTTACTTTACTTTACTGTAAACAAAAACTGTGCTTATAAGTGATAACTTAACAAACTTGAACAATTCTTTAAAATAGAATTTCGAACTTACTTACGGTTGAGTGACTTAATTTTGGCATCTAAAAAATAAATTATTCAGAATACAAACGTCTGATAGTAGACAGTATTAACTGCAGCTAGAAAAGGCATTATTCATTTTTTCAAGATAAATTAGTGAAAGTGTCTCTTCTAGATCTTGAGCTTTAAAAGCGGCTTCTTTATCAATTAACACAAAATGGTTAAGAAGTCAGGTGACACTAATTTAATTCAAAGCTACATTCCTTATTCACTCAGGGAGCATTCCTAAACATTTATAAAGGAATTTATTGACAGGCATACCTTCCTTGATAACGGTTTCCATAGTCCGTTTTATGACTGGGATGGTAGTGATAGATTGGTTCTGCGACACCAAAGTAGAACAGTCCAACACCAATGCCAGCAGCGAACAGCATAGTGAAGTAAGTAGCGTCACYGTACTCTGGTTTATCATTGGGCTTGCCGAGCTTTAGCTTGCCATACTTGGAGAAGAGCAGGTAGAGGATGAATACTGCCCATGCGTCTTGGTTTCCGATGTACAGCCATGTCCAAGTTTGAGTTATCCAATTTTTCCATGTTGGTAATACCTCACCAGCTTGGCCTGTCCATCGAAGACAGTAAATAACGAAACCCCAGATTAGAATAGCAGATACAAAGGTCACTACAGGATTGATTTCTATTCGAAAAAGACGAAATATTTTGAATTTAACATTGCGACACTTGTTTCGTATGGTATCATCTTCGTCAAAATCTGCCATTGTCACTGATAGTTATGCAACAAGCATAACAGGATGAATTGACGTGCACTCTAACTAGATTTAATACGTTTTAGTTCGCTGGGTATCGTAAAATCCTCGAGATGCAATTGGTTGGTGCATAGAGGATGAAACTGTTCTCTTGACTGATTGGATACGCCTACAACACCTTTTTTGCTAAATTATTGCTAGTAATCTTACAATAATCGAGCGTCAAAAGAATATTTGCAATGAATCGATAAAAAATCCTATACCGAAGCATCGCTCAAGTTT